ANNTTTTTTGAAAATTAAGTCCTAGGGAGATATGCCACGTGGAATGGCCCGCCCCTGGTGCGCGTTGGTGGGTGCGCCTCCTGATGTGATCATTTCCACGTGGCTTATCTCCTCAGGACCTAATTTTTCAAGAAAGTTGTCAACTACAAAAATGAAGCTTTAGTTTTGTTCAGTATAATCCGAAGTTTTGAGAAAAATCGCCATACAGTTGTCCACAGAAAATTATAGCTCAAAAATAATCAATTTTCCACTGAAAACCCGTAAAAATTAGGATTTTCTAATCTATCTGTGTGTCTGTTTGTCCATATTTTTTGAAATAAATTGAGGATTACTATACTTTTACTTTGTATGGGTTGGAACTTTTTGCATGCCAGTGTAAGTAAGCCAACCCAAGCACTACAAACTACCAATTTTAAGAGCCGGTTGACAACAAATAGCTCAAAAAGTGATTTTCTGACTAGGGAAGGTTGTTTGTGGGGTATGGGACTTCGTTATGGGACCTATATCATTAGAAAGCTGAAAATGAGACATTTTCAAAAATGTATTTCGATTTTGCTGCGGAGTTACCATATTCGAGAAAATCGAGTTTGAAATCTCATTTTTGAAAAAGCAAAGGGGGGACCCCATGGTGATTTTTTTCCAAAAAAATTTTTTTTTGAAAAAACATGAAAAACTTACAGGATCATACTGTGTTCTCTGAAACTGTTTGAAATTGTGGTTACACGCTTTTGAAAACTATTTTTGAGTCATTTTTTCAAACACTTTTCGACTTTTGAGAATAGAAAGTTAATGGTTTACAAAATATTTTGGATGTTTTTTTTGATTGTGATCGCAAATTTAGAAGTTTCTGTACAATGTGACCAAGATTAAGAGTTTTTTTTTTCAGAAAAAAATTTTGAAAAAAAGTTCCATGGGGTACCCCCTTGACTTTTTTTTTGAAAATTTTTGAAATTTTTTTTTCGGCTGAAAAGGTATTAAACGAAAAAGAACAAGCAAATTAGGTTTTTTACAAAATTTGATAACCTATTTTCTTCTCGGGATCAAGACGTTTTGATTCTTTTTCTGGTTTTCAACAAACCGTAGTACTACGATGATCGCCCAGTAATACTCAAAATTTGAGAAATCATAGACACAAATCATGTCTGATTGATGTGTGGCTCTTAAAACGAACCATCCTTATGAACTTTGACAAACAAAAGCTGTGTGAAAGTGTTTAGTGTTGATTAACGAAATAGTCAAAAACTAGATATTACTTAAAACATTTAAGAAAGTACAATTTTTCAGTATCAAAATGAAATTTTTTTTTGAAAAATGTGTTCGGAACATTTTGAAGATTTCCACAAAGACCAAAAACAAAAACAAAAACAAACAAAGGAGAGAGGAATCGAACCCAACCCTAGTCAGTTACCGCCAGTCGCTGCTTTCAACTAGTTCCACAATGCATATAAGAAAGGGGGGAGATCTGGCCCTCAAAATATTCGAATTTCAGCCAAATTTCAAATTCGATTTTCTCGGAGCTGGAATGTCCGCAGCAAAATCTGAATATATATTTGAAAATGTCTTATTCTCAGCTTTCGAATGATATAGGCCTCATATCAAAGTCCCATACCCCAGTTACAACCTTCCCTAGTGAGATTAGGCCCCTACAATAGCCTTTCAAAATCACTATTTTTTTGAAATTCTCAAAAAATACTATACAGAATTAGAGCTTTAATTTTGTAGTTGACAACTTTTTCGAAAAATTTGGTCCTAGGGAGATATGCCATGTGGAAGCGCCTACCCCCGTTGGACATTGGTGGGTGCGCCTCCTGGTGGGCTCATTGCGTGGTATATCTCCTCAGGACTTGATTTTCAGGAAAAGTTGTCAACTACAAAAATGAAGCTTTAGTTTTGTTTAGTATATTCTGAAAATTTCGAACCGAATCAAAAAAAGTTGGGAGCAAAAGATTAGAGCTGAAAAGTGGTCAGTTCCCGCTGTGAGAACCCGAAAAAATTAGGATTGTCTGATCCATCAGTTTGTCCATTTTCAATTTTCCGATCACTTTGAAAATTTTGGAAAATGTAAAACAGACCTAGATTGGACACTTTGCATTCACCGAATTTTTCGAGAATTCCTAGTTTTTCAGATATTAGCTGATTTCTGAAAGACACCTGTTTTTCATGTTTTCAGCACAAGAACAGATGTCTTTCAGAAATCGGCAAATAGCTGAAAAACTAGGAATTTTCAAAAACCGCTGTGAATGCAAAGTTTTCAATCTAGGTCTGTTTTACACCATCCAAAAGTTTCAAAGTGATCGGAAACTTGACAGTCGAGCTCCAGACTCCGGAAAATGGTTTGCATACCGCATAGCTAGCCAACAACAACTACAAACTACAAATCCCAATTTTTAGAGTTGGTGTCGTGGACACAACATCTGGGGATGGTGTTTCCATAACAAGTCATCTGGCATCTTCAACTGTGACGACGACGGCTTCTGTGTATCCCAAGAACAACTAAAAAACAAAAAGTCATCTGGATGTTTCGCTCGAGACAACTCATCGGTTTGTTGTTGTAACGATGCGGACGGGTGTAATCTCGGATTCATTGGTGTCCCACCGAAATATGCACACGGACAGCAGTGTGTCAATTCCATGGAGGTACCTAATGAAGATCCTCGACTGTTTAGACCATGGTGAGTGGCTAGTAAACACTGTAGAGTAGACACTGTCTAGTAGAGCAATATTGCTTCAGAAAAAAGTGTGCTAGTCGAGAACGTCCCTGAAAAATCACTCCAAAATTGTCAATTTTTCTGAAATTTTCAGAATATACTAAACAAAACTAGAGCTTCATTTTTGTAGTCAACGACTTTTCTGAAGAATTTGGTCCTAGATATGAGATATGCCATGTGGAAGAGCCTACCCCTCGTGGGCGTTGGTGGATGTGCCTCCAGGTATGTCCTCTTCCACGTGGCATATCTCCCTAGGACCACATTTTTCAGAAAAGTCGTTGACTACAAAAATGAAGCTCTAGTTTTGGTCATTACATTCTGAAAATTTCAGAAAAATTGAAACATTCTGAAGCACTTTTGTAGGGACTTGAAAGCGGGTAATTTTTCTCACTTCAGCAAAAATGCAATCACGCTCTACCAGACAGTGTTCAGTAGACTTGGCTTGAACATGGCAAAATTGAGATCCTAAAATCCAAGCACGACTAGACGGCTTAAAAATACCAAGCTTGATATCCCGAAATCCAAATTCAACACCCAGAAAAACCCCTCAACAAAATTCCAGCGACGATCCGTACTGCTACTCGCTTCTAACCGCCGAAGAGGACGGTGGCCCAACTACAGTAACCCGTGGGTGTCATTCTCGAAAAATGGTGATGCATTTCATGTCGAAAAACGAGGACGATCAATTCCAAAATAATACGAAATGGAGAGAAACAAAACGAATGGCTGAGATGCCGAGCTGTTCGGAGATTCTTAAGGATCAGCCAAAAGTCAATGGAACCAGAAGTCTGTGTATCGACTACACTTTCGATCAGGTAAGTGGAATTGGGCGGAGCTTACCTCGGTTACTGTAAAAGATTTTTAAAAAGTGGTCAACTAGAAAAATGTGTAGCATTTGATTCTACATATTTTACTAGTTGATCACTTGTTGCTATCTTTAACAGATGAGATAACTAAGGTTAAAGTTGGCATGCACCCCTTGTCCTTTAAACTTGTCTATTTAGCTTCCTCTTCATTTGAAAGCTATCAAAAAGCGGCCAATTAGAAAAATATGTAAAACTGAATTTTACAAATTTCATCTGTTAGTCACTATTGGAGATCCTTTACAGGAACCCCCCCCCCTTTGCACACAGCCACACAAGTTGTGGTTTGTTTAAACCGGGCCCTGTCGGACCTTCGCGGGCTTTGCAATTGCTTCCTTCATAATCAAGATTCTGGAACCAACTAAACTAGATATGGTAGAACTCAACGAGCACTACGAAATGATACTATTTGGAAAACGGTATCTTGACAATGAACAAAGTTACGAGCCATGACATAGCCGAGTCTGGCCGTGCTGCGCCTTGTCGCTACTTTTTTGGGCTTACCTATCTATCTAGGTTCATTTGAAAGCTAGAAAAACGTTTTCAACTAGTAATATGTGTAGAATTTCTTTTTACACATTTTACTAGTTGACCACTTTTTGAGATCTCTCATAGGAAGCGAGATAATGGAAGTCCAAACTACCTCCCCCCCTTGCCATCCCAACAACTGGTTTCTTTGGTCCTAATTATCAATATTCCTAGAATACCTAGCCAAAAACCACCAACTAGAAAAATGTGTAAAATTTCATTCTACGCATTTTATCAGTTGACTACTTTTTGAGATCTTTTACAGGAATCTAGATAATTAAGGTCAAAGTCAGAATACCCTTGCCCCTAAGACTTGTCTGTCTAGATCCAATTGAAAGCTAGCAAAAGGCGATAAATTAGCAAAATGTGTAAAAACTACAGTAATCCCAGGATATCATCACACATCATAGGAAATCTGTCTCAATCTACAGTAATCTAATCGTGTCAACAATTTTCCCCCCTCTAAAACTACTACCACCTCGGAGACTCCTCCCCCCTCGGCCACCCAACCATTGGGCTCTCATTATCAAGATTCTCAAAATAGCTAGCCAAAAGTTCCCAAATGGTGAAATGTGTGAAATTCAATTTTACACATTTTACTAGTTGAACATTTCTTGATATCTGACCTGGGAACTGAGATAAACCAATTTCCCGACCCCCTCTCCCCTAAACCAAGATAACCAAAACCAAAGAAACCCTTCTCAGGACCCCGAAGAAGGAGAAGACGCTACCGAAGAGCCAATTCGAATGAAAGGGCGACTATGCTGTTGTGATGGAACCAATAAATGCAACGAGCAAGCAATGTGGGCGGACGAAGGAATCAGTTTGGATGAGCTCAAAGAAGAAATCGAGAAACGAAAAGTGGCGGTGGGCGGAGTCCCAAATTACGATGGATTCCTCGTTTCTACCCTCTTAGTTTTTGTTGCTATGGCTTTTTGAATTCTTTTTTTTTTTTGAATTATTTTTTGACCCAAGCTTATTGCAGTTCTCTTTTTTTGCTTTCTTTTTTTCTCCAATAAAGCGAATTTATTTTGAAAATTAGACCACAGAAAATGAAACCAAAGGTGACCCGAAATTATTTCAACATTCACAAAATATATTTTTTTTCGATAGCCTATTAGGCGAACCAAGTTCACACCACCATTTTCAGAATCCACGTGGCAAGCTCGGAGCTCAGTGTGAAGTTTCGAATGTTGGCGACAGTCTCGACAGTCGTCGCCTCGTGTTTTAATTGCGATGGAGTGATTTGAGGGTTAAATGGAGAACAGCATTCACAGTAGAGGGGTAGGGTGTCGTGGCGAACGGATCTGCACTTGGCACACTGATGATCCTGGATCTGGTAGGCGGTTAGGAGTTGATTCAGACGATCACAGATCATCATGTCGATGACGTCGGAGTTGAGCTTCTGGAAGGAAACATTTTTGACTTATTTTTAAAGAAATTCTGGCTGCTTGTATTAATTTTTTGGTCTAAAAATGGTCTAATATAGGCCAAAAACGGTCTGAACTGGCCCAAAAAATGGTCTAAAATGGTTCAAAAATGGTCTAAAATAGTCCAAAAATGATCTAAAACGGTCCAAAACAGTCTGGAAAAGCCCCTTTCAGAAATTTTTTGAGCCATTTTAGGGTATTTCGGGCTAATTTTAAGGCTTTTCAGCCTATTTTTGACCATTTTCAGCCAATTTTCATATTAATTTCACGGGAGAAAAAAGTTAATTTTTTAAAAATTTGATTTTAAAAAACTAGGTCACGACCTACTTTTCTCTAGGCCATGACCTAATTTTTCTAGGTCACGACCTAATTTTTCTAGGACATGATCTAGTTTTTTCTAGGTCACGACCTAGTTTTTTCCAGGTCATGACCTAGTTTTTTCTAGGTTTTCTAGGTTTTCTAGGTCATGACCTACTTTTTTCTAGGTCATGACCTACTTTTTTCTAGGTCACAACCTAGTTTTTTCTAGGTCACGACCTAATTTTTCTAGGTCATGACCTAGTTTTTTCCAGGTCATGAACTACTTTTTTCTAGGTCACGACCTAATTTTTCTAGGTCATGGCCCACTTTTTCTAGGTCCTGACCCACTTTTTTCTAAGTCATGACCTGGTTTTTTCTGAGTCATGACCTACTTTTTTCTAGGTCATGACCTACCTTTTTTTTAACGTAAAATTATTTTTCTCAAATTCTGGATCAAGTGAAATTTTTCAAAAAAGTAGAATTTCTGTAGTTTGTAGTCTCTCTCAAGCTCATTTCAACCGATTTATCTCTAGAATTTTTTGCAAAACTCACACTCTGACACGTGGTGCACGTGAGAATCTCGTCTGTCGACGACAAGAAGACGTTCGACGCCTGAGAACACGAACTGCAGAAGACGTTGGAGACGAAGAGGGTCGTCTGGCGGAGTGGTGTCATGTCGACTTCAACTGAAAAATGATTATTGGGGGTTGATTGATGGTACTTTGCATTTTGCTATATATGGCGTTATATATAGTACTGTATATGGTACATTGTACTATATACGGTACTTTACATTTTACTATATACCAAACTGTTTCCCGCGCCTCTGGCGCTTCAAACAGCTGGCTGGTGCGTCTTTAGCGCGGTTTAACTTATCACTTACCCACAACATTATGGAGAAGGCGTCTCGCATTATCCCTTACGCCTTCAACAGCCAATTGAGACGTCTGATCACAGGAGAGTGCTCGGCAGATGGCATTGACAAGATACGTGGCACAATGTGCACTTTCTGCGTTGTTATGCACCAGCTTATTGACGACACGATACAACCGATGCGAGATTTTCTGAGAGATGACGTCGGCGCGGAACGTCGCCGCCGATTCCGTATCGAATTGAACTTCTCGATTGGTCTCGAGAAATTCGAGAATAAAGGCGCCGATCATTTGGAGGAACTCATCACGAATATTCGATTCATCTGGCATCTCCTCAGCGATTTTCCAGATGGCTGTGGTCTCGAATTGACGCGTGGCTTGGGGTTGGGAGGAAGAGGAGGTTGGAACGGAGTCGTCGATGACGTCAGGAGAATCAGAATCCTGGAATTATTCAGAATATAGTCTACATTAACCATACATTGACTGTGCTTCTAGCCACTGAAATTTCCAGTATTCCTAGCCAACAACAGTTCTGAACGCTTTGAAACTAGCCGAATGATTGCGGTTTAAAGCTAGACTACAAACTACAAACACTTCTAAGCCTCAGTAAACATTAAGGATTTTACTGAGGCTTAAGTTTTTTGTAGGTTGTAGTCTCTCAATTTTCAAAGCGCCATAACTTGGCTAGTTTTAGACGGTTTAGATTCGTTTTTGGATAGAAATGCAGGAAATTTTGAGGACTACAGACTACACAACTCTCTTAGCCTCAGTAAGCATTGAGGATTTACTGATTTTTAGGTTTTCTTGTAGTTTGTAGTCTCTCAATTTTCAAAGCATCATAACTTTAGACTATTTGGAACTGTTTTTGTATAGAAATCCTGGAAATTTCAAAGACTACAAACTACAAAAACGTTAAGCCTCAGTAAACATTGAGGATTTTACTGAGGCTTAGGTCTTTTTGTAGTTTGTAGTCTCTACATTTTCAAATCACCATAACTTGGCTAGTTTTAGACTGTATGAAACCGTTTTTGGATAGAAATCCTGGGAATTTTAAAGACTACAAACTACACATTTTTATAAGCCTCAGTAAAGTCGTCTAACTGATTTTTGGCTAATTTTTTTCTCCAAAAACTCCCATTCTCACCCCATCAACAATACAAATTCCGGTATGATTGTGTGCATCCATCCAGAGCATCGAATCGAAAAACTTGACTGGCGTAATATGAAGTGCCGCGAAGACGACATTAGTACTCAGCGATAGAATCAACATCTCCACGAATCCCTTCGCCTCCTCACTTGTCATTTTTCCAGTATTCAGCACCAACTTCTGGGCCGTCGCATGGATGACTTTTGCCCCGATTCTCTCACATTCAGCACACAAGAGCAGCACCAGTTTACTCTCCAAAACCGAAATACTTCTGGTAAGCGCCGAATCAAAAAGTAGAGCGGATCGCGTATTCAACCATCTGGATACCGTCATCACCACCTCATCAGCATGTCGATTTCCCTGATGAGCAATGTGTCGAACGCATTCTGTCAGCATTTGCTTCAGAATCTTAATCGATGCGTCAACGGCGGCTCTTCGTCGTAGCAAGCGATCGAATTCTGGGTTCCTCCTGTTACCGACTGCTGAGCAATCGTATTCATTGAATCGAAAGTTACCACGTCATCCGCACCTTCAGCTTCTAGAACACGACTTCTTTGTACCAACGCTGTCACCGCAACTGCGCTCAGCTGCAATTCCACACAAGCCGTCTCACAGAACGTCTCTCGATTCAGAAGCACAGTGTCATCAACAGAGAGGGGATTCCAATCAATCGATAATCGAATATCATCCAATTCCTTGCCTCCAAGATCCGGTCTGCTCGATTTCGTCGCCCATAACGCGTGTCCCGACTTTTTCAAATGTCTAGCATACAGTAGATCAAGACCAAAGAGGGCGTGGTCAGCAGGAAGGTTGCCGAGGGGAACACGAAGATAACGAGCCCATTCCAGGTAGTCTGTGAGGAAGAAGAAGCTGTTGAAATAGTGTTGAAGGACCCGGCGAGCCACCACTTTTTGCCAGTCTATTTGGTTGAGAAGAGACGAGGGTTCGGTGATATGAAGTTGTACATTTGGGAATAAACCCAGATTTGGGATTTTCCGGGCTAATCTCAATGGTTCAGTGTCGGAGAGGAGAAGGACAACGGCAGTTTTTGAGGAGAACTCTCGGAAGGCTCTCAAAGCACGGCCAAGCTGACGTTCGCATTCTTCATTCGAAGAGAATCGCTTTACAGTGAATTGCATCTTCTCGGGGGTTTTACACAGTTGGCCACGTTCTGTAGACATGATTTTGTTATAGGCACTGGTATACAAAGCATCCATATTTGGTAGCTGTACATCTCCAGAATTCACGACATATAAGTAAGCGGCAGATCCGGAAGTGTCTATCAGCGAGTAGACGTGCCGAGTGTCCTGGGAAAACTTGTAGAGGAAAATTGTTCGGATATTTTGCTCGTTTGGAAGATAGCTCATCTTTTCCATTGGTCTCAAGCTCTCCAGTGTCAACTGGTGGCCTCCAAGAGAGACACCGTGGTCCGGGCGTACTGTAGATCCGAGTTGGAGGACAGCTCGGAATTCAGTGGGAACTTCCGATTCATAAATTCCATCGATCGTCGAGCTACACGTTTCTGAGTAGAGCTTATCCATGAGCGCGGTTAGCTGAGCCTCATCTGTCTTGAATTCGTAGAGATATCCAGGAGGTTTGTGGTGTGGCAAGACGCGTCGAACGGTTTCTCGATTGCCACGTGGCGCGCGGGAATCTACCAGAATCTTCCTGCCAACTTTCAGGGTCAATTTCTGCATCTGTCCTTGAACCGACATCCATACATTGAAAAATGAGGAATCAGCGGTTGGCTCGACACTCAAAATGTGCCATTCTCTCTCGCTCTCAGCCTCCCGCGCTCCACGAACAATTGTATCCACTGCATCTGAATCTCTTGCCGTCTTCAATTGATTCTTTCTCTCCTTTCGTTGAATCCTCCACTTCTTCTTCAAGAATCCAAGCCAATCATCGAATCCGTGATCCACCAGCGTCTTCTTCTCCAGAACCTCTGCTTCCTGGTTCTTTTTCGTCTCCACAGCCTTCTTTCTCTTCGCTAGATTCTCCTTATCCCCTTCCTGACTATCCACGTCTTCAGCGATGACGTCATCTGAACTGTCGACATCGGGGCTTCTTCTGCGTTTTCCGTTTTCCAGTGTGTTGTTCGAGGTACTCGGTTTTTGGCACGCGGCGAAGATCTGGTTGATACGTGGCTGTTTGTGAGCGTCAACTCTGGAAATTTGGGGGGAATTTCAGAATTTCAGAAATTTTAAGAATTTTCAGAAAAATTAATTTTCACGTGAAAATTCAGGAATTCACGTAAATCAATATATTTTTCACGTGAAAATTGCCTAAATTGAAATTTGACGTGAAATTTCAGAATTTTCAAATTTCACGTGAAAATTCCGAAATTCACGTAAATCGATATTTTTCACGTGAAAATTCCGGATTTCAAAATTTCGCGTTTTCACATCACTAACTTATTCCGTATCTTGTTCTGCAGCCAATCTGGATGCGGTACACGTGGCACCGGATTCACCACTCCTTGCAGCGCCGCTGGAATCGTAATAATCTTCTGAATACAACTTCCGAATCGCTCGATATAATAATCCCAGTCCAACATATCCCGAATATCAGTGTCCTCGTCGTAATCCTGCTGTTTCGTCCATTTTCGAATATAATGGGATTTAACCTTCGAGTCAGCTTTGAAAATCGCTACTGGAATAGCTCTTTCTGTCACTGGGGCGCCAACTGGGTGTCGAGAAATGATGAACATACACGCGAGACCTGCATCCTTGACCATATCATCTCCCAGGAACTCGGCGAGTCGTTTGGCTGTACTAATCGAGGTACTCTTTTGAGATCCATAGTCCTCCAGCTTCCGTGACATACTTCTATTCTCAGAAATCAAATCGAACAGCTCCTCATCCGAAATCTCCTCGCCGTGCGAATGTAGAATATCCAACCAGTGATTCGCATCACCAGCCACCGCTTTATACGTCTCTTCCAGCGTTTTTCCATTCAAAAACGTCTTGAAAACATGACTTTGGAAGTGTTTGATGATGTTCAGCTCTCCACGTCTCTTCAACTCAAATCCTTTCATCTCAGCCAGTGATCCATCTAGATTGAACACTGCATATCTCTTTTTAAGCTTCTTTCCTTCTTCTTTCGACGCTGGCAACACCATACACTGATATGGACCGTCCACTTCGAAATAAATCGAATTTTCCGAGGATTTCAAATAGGACCCATCTTTTTGAAGTGTAAAATATTGATGATTAGTGAATCCCTCGTAAACCAAAGCGTTGAGCATCGCTCCTGGATAGGATACGGTGACCTGATTTCTCTTGTGGTTTTTGAGCTTGAATGTGACATTTTCCGGGAACGACGCCGGGATTAGACACCAAATGCCGTCAGTATCCAGTTCCAGGGGTTTTCCGATCTTATCCACTAGCTTCCGGGCTTCTTTGATGATATTGGCGCCGGTATGACACACAATTCCAGCCATTTCCATTGAGTACCATCGAGAGCCTTTTCGCATCACGTAGCCGTAGAACGAGTTGAGGATACACTTATGGGCGAGTTGCAGGGATTCATAGAGCACCATTTCCACTGAAAATTCCAGAATTAGAACGCCTAAACTGAAACCTAGGTCTCAGTAAAATCCTTAGTGTTTACCGAGGCTTAGAAATTTTTGTAGTTTGTAGTCTGTTTTTGAAAACGCTATAACTCCGCCAGTTTCGAAGCTTTCAGAACCGTTTTTTGCTAGGAATACTGGAAATTTTAGTGCCTCCAACCTACGAAAATCCCTAGACCTCATCAGAATCCTGCTGGTGCATTCAGTGTTTAATGAGGCTTCGAAGTTCTGTAGTTTGTAGTCTCAATTTGAAATCGCAATAACTCGGTTAGTTTCAAAGCTTTCAGACCCGTTTTTGGCTAGGAACACTGGAAATATCAGTGGCTACAAACTACAAGAAGATCTAGGCCTCAGTAAAATCCTTAGCGCTTACTGAGGCTCTGGATTTTTGTAGTTTGTAGTCTTATTTTGAAAACGCCATAACTCGGTTAGTTTCAAAGCTTTCAGAGCTGTTTTTGGCTAGGAACACTGGAAATTTCATTGGCTACAAACTACATACAATTGCAAATGACCTACATTTCGACGTGGCCACTGTAGCAAGATCATTCTCGGCTTGTGCCTGATCGAACCTTCCCTTCGCCTTCTTCAACATATCCTTATACTCATATCGCCTATCACGGAACGCCTTCACCGTCTCCACATAGAAATGATTCTCCCTCTGACAAATCATCGTCTCTCGCATCTCTAGCTTCGTCAGATGCGTCTTTCCGTACACTCGTCTACTGTAATCCTTCACACGCTTCATCTCAATCGCCTCTCGTTCCGCCCGTTCCAGCATATGAAAATGTTTTGGTGGTTTTCCGAATGACTCCGCCTCCAACTGCTGCATGATTTGCTGGTATTCTCCACGTGTCGCTGGTGCTGAAAATAGGAATTTCGGAATTTAGAAAAGAATTTAGAAAGATTCTTCGTCTTACTGAGCTCTCCTCTCCACTCCCATGCCATTGTCCTTTTACACTCGGCGTCTGGCATATTGAATGAGCATCCCATGCAAATCTCTTCGTTCACCATTGCACATGGCTGTAGACGATTCGTCAAAATGATATTCGGGTACATGGCGCCGACGTCCAAATGGTAGATTCGTGGATTCTCGAGACGATTCGGGACAGCGATCAAGCCATCGAACGCCTCCTCGACCTCGGCGCACTGTTGCTCGAAATTCTCCACATGGTCCAGTGAAACTTCGAACTCACGAGCCAATTCTTTGCGCAGCGTCTCGGGAACTTCGGATTTTAGCTGCTCCAGCGCGTCGACAGAGAGACGGAATCTGGAAAAATTGTTTTTAGCAAGAAAACCGGAAAAAAATTGGCTAAAAATCGGTCTATTTTGAGCTGAATTGCAAGTTTACTGAGGCTTAGAGAATTTTTTAGTTTTTAGTCTCACACAATTTTACTTGTTCCATAAGGAAACTGCGTAAAAAAGGGATTTTTCATGTGACTACAAACTACAAAGCGGTGTAAGCCTCGGTAAAAATACATGAATTTTACTGAGGCTTATAGAATTTTGTAGTTTGTGGTCGATTCGCCTCATTAAACTTGCCAAACTTGAAATAGGTCGTTATTAATGGGTTTTCAGACAATTCTCGTCAAAGTTTTTGATTTTTTAGGGCTTTTTGATGAAAATTAGCTCATTTTTCATCGATTTTCTTTTAGTATTTCAAAAGTACCTCGCCGGAATATCCGCTCTGAAAACGCCAGCCTCCAACGCTTCGACGTGTCCTCCAACATATGTCTCACTCTCCACACGATGTCCATCCTTACTGAATCGTGTCTCTTCCGGTCCAGTGTACTTATTCGGAAACACAATATTACTATGAAACGCTTCGACCATCAAAAGTGCCTCGCAAAGTGTTCCAGAACCTTTTCTGAGCACATCATCAGCGCCCAACGGAATAATTGTGCATAAAGCGAAAATGAATTGGTGGACATATTTCATATAGAGATAATAAGTGGACACTGCATCCGATACCGAGTAGTTTGCCAGCTGTTGTGGCTGCTCTCTCGCCATTTTACACATCAATTCTGGCTCCACTTCTACTGGATCGTATCGTAATTTCGCTTTTGTCACTGCTTTCAAATTCTGAGATCCAACTGGCAAATAGGAGTCTCGTTTGACCCAACGGAAGGCGTCCATATGAATACAGTTACGGGATTTGTATTCGTCTGCGGAGTCCTTCGAGAAACCAATCTCTTTTTCCATGTTGAATCCACGAATCTTCGCACGAGCCTCGACGAATGGCCAATCGAAAAAGTCGCCGTTGTAGGTGACGACAATGTGGGACGGACCTAGAAATGGGATTTTGTAGTTTGTAGTTCCTGAATTTGGAAGCAATTCTATCCGAAAACGGTTTCAAATAGTTGAAAACTACTCGAGATACAGCGTTTTGAAAATATAGACTCTGACTACAAACTACAAGAAGCACTAAACCGCAGTAAAGTTCATAGCGTTTACTGAGGCTTAGAAATTTCTGTAGTATGTAGTCTCTAACATTTCAAAGCGCCGTATCTCGGCTAGTTTTAAAGCTTTCAGATTCTTTTTTGTTTAGAAATACTCGAAATTTGAGTGGCTACAAACTACAAGAAGAATGTAAGATTCTTAGTGTTTACTGGGGCTTAGGAATTACTGTAGTTTGTAGCCTGATTTTGAGAACGCCATAACTCGGCTAATTTTGAAGCTTTCAGAACCGTTTTTGGCTAGAAATAATGAAAATTTCAGTGGCTACAAACTACAAAAATTTCTAAGCCTCAGTAAAATCCTTAGTGTTTACTGAGGCTTAGAAGTTTCGTAGTTTGTAGTCTCTTTTTAAAAACGCCATAACTCGGCTAGTTTTGAAGACATCAGAACTGTTTTTTAATTTCAGTGGCTCCTACACTACAAACTACAAACTATCAAAAAATCAATTTTACCTGCAGAAAATGATCGAAGAACTTGCGAATCAACGCAGTTTCGTCCTTCTCATTCCACACGGTGAACTCTCCCTTGTACTCGGCTTTTGGCGTATACTCAAACGCGTTGATATCAGCGGACACGATTTCCCGATTGATAATCAAAAAGCCACGACCGTCGACCATATAGGAGATCATCATAATCTCATCAGACTCCCGGTCCGGGAATTTCAAGGGGAGTTTTGTGGTTTCAATATCAAAGGCCAACACTCGAGGTTTCGCATGGAAAAATGCCAAATCCTTGCGTTTAATCGTTGGCACACGATTCGGACCAACGCCCTTCACATCGTACCACAAGCCGACGAAGATCTTCTCATCAATCGAAACTCGCATGTGAAATGGGACGTCGTACTCTCGAATGTCCACAATTTGATTCAGAATGTCTCCATTCAACTGGGCGTCTGATGTTCCAGAGCCTCCTTTTCCACCCAGATTCCTGGCCAAATAATCCGCATACGCCGACTCTTTCTTGATTCGATCCGTATTTTTTCGAACTAGCGGCATTAGGTCCTTCCGAATCTTCATCATTTCCACGGTGCTGGTGAACGACAACTTGATATAGGTCTTTTTGAGTCCCGAGAGATGGTCTTTCTGGAAAAAAAAAACAATGTTTACTGAGGCTTAGAACATTTTGTAGTTTGTAGTCACTGAATTTTCAAGCAATTCTATCCAAAAACGGCTTTGAAAGGTCTGAAACTAGCTGAGTTATGGCGTTTTCAAGATCAGACTACAAACTACAAAACTTTCTAAGCCTCAGTAAACACGAAGGATTTTACTGAGGCTTAGAAGTTTCGTAGTTTGGCTAGTTTCGAAGCGTTCGGAACCGTTTCTGACTAGAAACACTGGAAATTTTGATGGCTACAAACTACAAGAAGCCTTAAGCATCAGTAAAACCCCGGAAAATCGTGTAGTTTGTATTCTTTGGAATTTCCAGCATTTCTAGCCAAAAACGGTTTCAAACGGTCTAAAACTACCCGCGATAAGGCGGCAAATACTCATTAGCTTGATGATCTTTTGCTAAATGCTCACTTGCTAAATTTTGATCATTTGCTAAATAGAAAATTTGTTCAAATTGAAGGCTTAGGCTGAAACTCCTTACCGGATAACAGGTGTTTAAGCCTAAGCCTAAAATTTAAAGCAAAAACAGGAATATTCTGTAAAAAATTCAGTCAAAAAGTACTGAAATTAGCAAATAACAGCAAAATTTCCACTTTTTCATTTTTAGCAAATGATCAAAATTTAGCAAATGAAGTTTAGCAAGTGAGACTATTTTAGCAAATGAGCGAGTTTAGCAAGTGAGTTTTTAGCTAGAAATTCTGGAAATTTGAGTGACTACAAACTACAAGAAGACCTAAGCCTCCGTAAAATCTTCAGATTTTTACTGAGGCTTAAAATATTTTGTAGCTTGTGGCCCCAGAAAATGTCTACGTGGCAAGACTGACCTAATTTCAGGTGTTTTAAGCGAGTTATTTTTCAAGTGACTACAAACTACAAAGCGTTGTAAGCCTCAGTAAGAATATATAGAGATTTTACTGAGGCTTCACGCGATTTGTAGTTTGTAGTCGATTAGTTTCAGTAAACTCGCCATAGCTCGTTTTTCAGCCAATTTTCGCAATTTTTAGGGTTTTTTTTGTAATTTGTAGTCGTCTCTCTCTCTCTCTCTCTTACCAAGTCCAAATCCTCCTTATCCATATGCTCGACCTGTGCCTGTGCTCCATACTTTTTCGACAAATAGCTGGAGACCTGGAACTCGAAGCCGTCCAACGTGGCAATGTAGAAATACGGGCGGAACGGATAGCTGATTTTGAATCGCTCGTCCATATCACTGATAAAGAAGTAGTCGACGACGGAAACGATGACTTTAGTCTGCTCATCGACGAGCTCTGATGGCTGAATATTGATCAGGAATCCCTTCTTCTCCTGTATCCCTGTGTATCTCACGAATCCTAACTTTGCATCGATCGCATCGTTTGACTTGATCAGCGACAGACGCTCTTTGTAATTCGCATCGCTGGAAAAAGTGGTTTTTTTTTGGAATTTTTGTTTTTTTCCGCTCACTTTTCGACTGCCTGCGCGAGAAGATCATCTTTAGAGCTCATTTAGTTTGAGTTTTTTGTTAGTGGAGCTGAAAAATTGCCGAAAATTGGCAAAATTTTAACGGAAAAAGAAAAAATGCGATTAGAAAATTTGAAAACTTCAAAGTGCGCAATTTCGCGCACTTTTTTCGGGTGGATGAGTTTTGGGGGTTTTCTAGGCCACCGGCAGAAAATCGCTGAAACCGGTCTGAATTTAAGGGTTTCGGGCTGAAATTGATGTTTAAAAGGGTGAAAAGGAAGCTAAATGCGCGAAGGATCCAAAAATAATCAAAAAAATAAAGAAAAATAGTGTATTTTATGCTGAAAAAGTAGTTTTAAACAGAAAAAAATAAAAACAATTATTTAAAAACCGAGAACATGGAATTTAAATCTGGAAATTGAAGTATACATTAGGATGAGAAGATCGCCAACGCAATTCTGTAATTTTTTATTCATCTGAAAATGAAACTTATTCCTATTCAGCTTATACCGCCGTATAGACGCCCTCCCAAACGTGCCAGGGTTGCAATTTAGGCTCCGCCCCCGACTCCGCCAACTTTTCTCCGGAGTTTTTTTTCCCCGGAGTTTTTTTTCCTCGGAATTTTCGGGGTCTCCTTCCTGCCAATCCCATGATGCAAGTGCGCTCTATTTGCAAGGGAGAGAGAGTGAGAGGGGGAAGACATATGGGGCAATTTATTGAACGGACCTTAAGGTGCCTTGATTGATTGTTGAATATGATTGATTTTTGAATTGCCACCCAGCAGGTCAAGAATTATTATTTCATGTTCAGCAAATTAAATTTCTACAGTACTCCTGGGCCATAGTTGGTCCATCTGGTCATTTTTAAAATTTTAATTTTGTATGATACTTTAAATATTTCCCTCTACTAGTCGTTTTCCTGTAATAGAAATGCCCCCTGTTTTTTAACTTTGAGCCAATTTATCTCATTTCCTGTAAAAGATATCAAAAAGTTGTCAACTGATAAAATGTTTATCATAATATCAGTAACATTTGTTCAGTTGACAGATTTTAGATATATTTGACAGGAGCCGAGATAAATGGGCTCAAACTTTTATTACCAACTTCCTGACTTAATTGATCTAATTTTACAGCCTTTAAAAATGACTGAAAAAGACAAAGCCCCCAATCCAGAAGACGTCATAGAGATGGATGACAGCTTTTCGCCGCAATTCGTTCAAGAAGTGAATCGAGTGAAGTCCCAGATCAAAAGTCTCATTGTAGGGGTTCCAAAAACTGATTTTAACTGATTTTCTGATTTTTTGCAGGAGAACAACACCACCCTTCGATTTTTCAAACCCCTAACTTCGAATCTAGGAGATGTTACAGCGATTTTGAGGATTTCCTTTAATAATATGATGTCCAAAATGGAGGAAAAAGAGAAGCAATCTCTAGTGAAAGAATTGATCAAACTTGTGCATCATGTGGCTGAAAAGAATACACAGGATAAAGTTTTCATTGCGTAAGTATATTGAATTTGGATTTCCCGCCGATTAACTAAATTGCATACGATAGAAAAACTCAAAAACTACAAAATGATACTATTTGGAATATTGTAGCTAGTCTATGAACAAAGTTACAAGCCATAAAGCTGTGACTGAGTAGCTCAGATGGTTTTTGGTTTGTAACTTTGTTCATAGACAAGATACTGTATTCCAAATAGTAATATTTTGTAGCTCTTGAGTTTTTCTATCATATCCATTTTAATTGGTTTAAAAATATTGATTATAAAAGAAACTATAAATGCGCCCGCAAACACGGGAAATTCTAATTGCTGGATACTTGTAACCAGTTGCGTTGCGGGTCTTGTCATATCTTCTTTTAGAATTAATATTTTTAGACTAACTAAATTGCATATAATAGAAAAACTCAAAAGCTACGAAATGATATTAATTAGAATACTGTATCTTGTCTACGAACAAAGCTACAAGTCATAAAGCTGTGACTGAGTAGCTCTGATGGTTTTTGACTTGTAACTTTGTTCGTAAACAAGGTAAAATATTCCAAATAGCACCATTTTGTAGTGCTTGTCAAATTATATTATATCCAGTGTAGATATTCAAAAATATTGATTCTAAAAGAAGCTATGGCAAGGCCCGTGAAGGCTTCTAAGTACCGGAAACCCTCTAATAGAAGGCCGTCTAACTTTGAGTCCCCATATCTCGGTTCCCGTAGAAGATATCAAATAATTGTTAACTAACAAAATTGTTATCATGATATCAAAAATAATTTCTTAGTTGACCACTCATTCAAATCTCTTACAGGAACCAAGATATAAAGGTTGAAACTTAACAGTACAAATTTTACAGTTAACTTGATTTTCCCTCCGAGCCAATTTTTGAAAATTTTACAGCGCAAGTTACGAGAGAGTGGTAGACGAGCTTCTTCGATATGCCAATCAAAAAGAGGTGATCTCAACGACTCTATGTGTAGAAGGACTCATTATGACATCGGATTTTCGAATGTGTAGTAGGATAGATCAGGAGAAATGGAAGTTCATAAAAGAATGCATTCCCAAAATTGACTACAAAGGAATCAGAACTATCATCCGATATATTTTGGAATCACAACTCAGACGACTTCCTTATCAGTTGTCACCAGAGAAAGTGAATGAATTGCGACGTGTGGAAGACGTTTTGCTGAAAATTGTGGATCGAGATTTGAATTTGATGCCTCCATTGATAACGTTATCAGAAGTTATGAGAGGGACACCGAAGCAAGCACATATGTTTCCGGTGAGCCTTTTTTCAGAGAGTTTGAGAATTTTAGGACTTCTGGTTTTAGAATTCCTAACATCCTGAACATCGTGAAACCTGTAATAGACCCTCACACTGCCAAGTTTGAACTCAATAATCTCGGCTCCTATCAGAGACATCAAAAATCAGTTAACTAACGAAACACTTCTGATATTATGATAAACAATTCATCAGTTAACAACTTTTTGATATCTTTCACAGGAACCGAGATAAATTGGCTCAAAGTTAAAAGTTAGGGGGCCTTGTATTACAGGTTTTACGGTATTTGGGATTTAGAAGTTCGGAAATCTTCGATTTCCTAAATTTGTGAATTTTTAAAATTCAGAATCTCCGATATTTTAAACTTTGGAAAAAATTCTGAAAATCCGAAATTCCCAAAAATTCGAAAATTCTGAAATTTTCAAAATTTCCAAATTTCCGAAATCTCGAAAAAATAAGTCCGAATTCCTGAATTCCCAAAAGTTCTGTAAATCTAAAAATTCTAAATTCACAAAATCTCGAAAAAGAAAATCCGAATTTCCTGATTTCCAGATTTCTAGAAATTCGAAATTTCCGAAATTCTGAATTCTGAACGTCTAAAATCTTTTTAAAGCCCCTAATTAGCAAAAGAAATTGAAAACCACCGTAAACACTCTAATAGAAGGTCACCCTAACTTTGAGTCCATATATCTCGGCTCCTAAAGATAAAAGAAACTTGTCAACTGATAAAATATTTGTGATATTTTGATAAACAATTTATCAGTTGACCACTATTTGATATTTCTTATAGGAGGTGAGATATATAGGCTAAAAGAACGGTTTGAGTGGACTTCCCTCCACTCTAATAGAAGGTAGCCCTGCTTTGAGCCCATATATCTCAATTCCTGTAAAAGTCATCAAAAAGTTGTCAACTGATAAATTGTTTATCATAATATCAGCAATATTTTCTTAGTTGACAAAATTTTGATATCTGTTACAGAAAACGAGATATATAGGCTCAAATTTCATAGTAGCTGAGGACCAAGATTCTTTGGAGAATCAGGAATTTCGATCTCAAATCATCGCTAATAAATTTTCCAGCGCCTCACCGAGAAGCTCGCCAACCTCTCCTCTCACTTCCGTCCAATCGCCGACCTAACCCACGTATGCGGCCGCCCATTCATCTACCCAATCCCCTTCCATCCAGCCTTCCATCCTCCAACATCATATTGGGAAGATTTCGGAATGAATGCACAGAGCCCATATACCCAGTCCCATCATATGCTACCGTATAGACCTCAGCATAAGGCGGCCAGTTGTCTCTACACATTTTATATGATCCTAAGACAGCCATTGGGAAAGGATTCGGTAAGAAAATTGAAGATTTTTCAACAAATTCAAGATAAAAAAAAACAGTTTTATTAATTTTTATTTCAGTTAAACCCAACAAATCGAAATAAAACCAAATCGCATTGGGAGCCCTTGCTGTCCGTGATGATTGTCGAAGCCATGGCAGAGACCGAAGCACTTCCAGAAGGCAAACAGATTCCACGTTATCAATGGGACAACATCACGAATCTTGTCATGTATGGAATGTCTCATCTTTTGGTGTAAGTTGTCTAAAAGTTTAAAAGTATTAGATATCGCCAAAGAGCCCTTTAAATTCCCTACAAAACTAGGTAACTTTCACATTTCTAGGTTGAATGACAGGCGAGATATGCGCCTTTAAAGTTTTCGAGGCTAGAGAGCGAGAGGGCGCAGAGAAGCGAGAGATGTCTAGTCGTCTGACGCTCTAGCCGTCTTGTTTTGAAGGGGGAAATATTCAGAAAACCTAAAATTGAATTTTTACAGTAATCCCAAAAACTTCTTCCACTATCTCAAAGGTCTTATCAATCAGTGCAAATACACCCGTGCTCGAGATGAAGTCATGTGGATCGTATTCCAAGTCGTCAGCTCTCTACACAAAATGATCAAAATCGAAGATGCTGTTCAAGAGATTGTCGATCTCTACAATGAGCTATTCGATGGAGAGTTCAGTTGGCACGGCGCCTCAGATCATCCAGCACGAATGGCCAGATTCCTGGCAGCCGCCAGTACATGGATGTTGTTGGAAAAAGACGTAAGGCATTTTTATAATATTTCTACCAGCCTGTTTGCCGCGCCTCCGGCGCTTCAAACATCTGGCTGGCGTGCCTTCGGCGCGATTTAACCTAGTTTTTACTAGTTAAAACACCGGCCAACGATGTTGTGATCTCAGCAAAATAAATATTTTGTTGAGATTTTCGCATTTTTTGGAAATTTGGAAATTGGGATTTTTCAAAGTTTTTGTAATTTCAGAATTTTCGAATTTCTTCAAATTTGAAATTTTTGGAAATCCGTTTTTTTTGGGATTCTCGAAATTTTGAAGTTTTTTTAAGAAATTTGAATTTTCCAGAATTTTCGAAATTCGACGTACCGTAAAACCTGTAATAGAAGTGCCCCCTGACTTTCAACTTTGAGCCCATTTATCTCGGTTCCTGATAAAGATGTAAAAAATTTTTCAACTAATAAATTGTTGCTGCTATCATGATAAACAATTTATCAGTTGACACATTTTTGATATCTTTATCGAAAACCGAGATAAATGGGCTCAAAGTGGAA